GGTAGAACATCTGCTGAGTCCTTGTTGTACGGGGGCTGGATGGCCAAAAACGGCTGGCGGCACGGCCCCTCTGCCGTCCAGCCCTTCCAAAAACACCACGGGTGTGGGAACCGCGGAAGACTTTCCGCATTGAAGATTGTGCCTTGTTAAGGGACGTGAATATGTTGACCCTTTTATTTAATTCCTTAAGGAAGGCCTCTCCAAATAATTTACCCTGTGCTAAGGGTCCTAATTCCTTGTCCCCCAGTTCGACCAGTTTTTCGTCGATACGGTAAAGTGCTGCTCGGCGCCTCTCCGAAGAGAGGGCTACGTTGGTGTTCCCTAGGAAACAGAAACACCTTTGTGCCCATTCCCGGGTATCTCGTGCCCATTCACGCACCGTATCTGGGGTAAAAGTGTCAGCCCTCTCATAGGCTTCATCCGCCATATCCATGATTCTGGCTAGTGGCCCAATGGCATCTAGCAGTTTGTCTTGCGCCCCTTTAAAGCCGCGCTCTATGCCCTTGCGCGGATCCCGACCCCCTCGGGACATGAATGTAGTCATGAGCGGGTCAAACTCGGGGGTGTGCGTCACTTTGTCCGGTAGACTAGGGCGAGGGCATTCGGATCTCATCCGGTTTCTTACTTCCTTGTCCAGCGATTTTCTGAGCCAGAAGTGCATAAACCTTGCCAAATGCTCAGGTGGTGACCATTCTTCCGAACGGGGGTGCCGGATGTTTCTTGGGTCAAACATTTGGAGGCCCGAATTGTCGAGGAAAATCTCCGAGCCCTCCTGTGGGTTATCCATGGATGTTGCCATGGAGTCCTGGGGCTCACCCAGACCCTGTTCCCTTATGAAGTAAGGGTCAGAGTTGGCCGTGGAATCCCTGTCGGAGTCCCCCTGGTCAGAGGCTGCCGCCTGCCATTCATCCAGCACAGCTAGTGCCTGAGTGGGTTCTACATCTTCCTCACCTGAGGAAAGTTGTGTGGCATCGTGGGTAGCACGAACCGTGGCTTTCCTGCGATCAGCAGGGGCTTTCCCTTTAGCCTTGCGTGGGGTTACCTTGCCCTTCCAATGGCGTTTTCGCCGTTGGGAGTGTTCCCTGGAAGAGTCGGAGTCTTCGGAGTCCGCCTTATAATGAACCCGTTTAGAGATGGGCCTGGGGACTTCAGAGTCTGTTTGGAGCGACTTGGAAGCGGCTTGTTCCATGGCTGCAGCCACGGCAGCTGTTATCATGGCCTGGAGGTCTGGGGTTTGTGATTCCTCCATTATAAGGAATGAGGATTCGGGGCTCACCCGGTAAATTGCGTGAGGGCACTAGGCACGATTAGTGGAGAGGCCTGGGGACCGGGGTGGTATAGTATCTGGACTAAATAACCTGTGGTTAGAGACCGGTAGGTCGTAGGAAGAGGAGAGGGCTGATTCACTGGGGCTCACCCAGGTGATCGGAAACCTGCATGAACAGGACCGTTTAGCAGCGTAAAATGGGGGCTCACCCCGGCCAGAATAAGGTGCAGACCAACTGGCTAAACCAACCCCAAGTGTAAGGCACTAACCTGGTCCCACTGAGTGAAAAGGGTTAAGGCTTTTCAATTGCTTGCCGGATTAGCAGGAGCAGAAAATCAGGCAGTGTCTATCTCTTTAAGATGGCCGCCGGACTGACAGGCTTAGTGTGTGGAGGATAGTACCTCCCCCAGTTTGGGCGGCAAACTGTAAGCTTGCCATTCGCATAAAACTGCCGAACGTGAATAGAAGATCTATGCGAACTGCCGAACGTGCGAATAGAAATAGATGCGAACGCTTAAAAAAGGCGATCGCGTCAAACTGCCGAACGAAGCGTTCGGTTGAAAGAAACGAATAGTCAATGTGCGGTCGCACAGAAAAGACCGCGGGCATTCGTGTCAAACAGGCGAATGCGCAAAACTACCGAATAAAGCGTTCGGTAGAAACAACCGAAAGGGTTGTGCGCGAGCGCACAGAAAAAGCCATTAAAAGAAACAGAGAATATGGAGGGAAAGTACAGACGGCGGGGAAGCCGTGAAAGACAGCTAGGGAGCCAGGCAAGGTCCCCTGGTATACAGATAGGTTAAGAGCAGTAATAGGGCAAATATATAAAGGTACAGTGATAGAACAAAAGGCATGTAAATGAATAAGTGTATGTAGAATAGATAACACAAAATTTTGTACTTAACTTGTGATGGAGCAGCAAAGAAAGAGGAAATGATGTCATAGGTCACACCTCTTATACCCTATTCTACGTTGTGATTGGTGAAAAGTTTTGTCACTCTTTTCTTTGCTGCTATGGAGATAGTAAAGAAAGATTATGCAAAATACGAAGCCTCCTGTCATGTGATAAAATTAGTAAATTACAATTTCCCATTTTAGGAGCTCCACTATAAAAAAATAAAATAAAATAAAAAGTCTATAGGGGGCTTTAGACTTGACGAGGACTTAGGCACAGCTCAAATAGGAGTCCCTCTTAAACAATGCAAATGTTATCTCAATAAAGTAATTTGTATGACTTGTATATTTTCAATGTAAAACTACTATATTAAATACTTGTCCTCAGTACTGTAGTAATGTATGCACCTCCTTTATACATTATAGCCCTTATACATGTATACACGTACATGTAAAATTCACATAACATATCTTATTTATTCATCGATAGATTGACACGTTTATTTATTTATTGTCAATCTGTGTTATATGTTATAAATACTGGAGTATTTCGGTTGGCCTTGCATTTATTTATCCTGGCATATACTTACATAGATCATTATTTAATATTATTATATTTATTGATTGTATTTATTGATTTACTTTTTTTTGGTGTGCTTTTTTCATGGTATTAGCTGGGCTTTTTTAAGCTTATATATAATGTGCTTTTCAACAAGGGGTTTTATGGTGACCTGTTATTGACAGTTTTAGAGTATTTATTTAGGAAAGACTCCCACCTTTTCCCCTCTTTTTATCGATTATGATAATTTTTCTATTTGGTATAGTTTTTATTCTTACATTCATACAAAGTTATTTACTAAATAATACACAAAAATGTTATTGCCAATCTGGCAATATATTAAATAAAACGGCATTGCAATTCTCATGAGGGGCAGCAGTATTCTCGAATACAGCACCCCCTCTGCTGGCGCTCCCTATGGTGGCAACCCATGTTGCTTCTGTGTCTTTGTTAATTGTCTCCTACTCTTCAGATGAACTTGCGTGCTGTGTCGGCAGCCAGCTCCTCTGTTGTCAAGACCCCCCTGTGAGGCACACACCACCTTGGTTATAGTACTGCAGCCTGCCTGTGTCTGTGTTTACAGGTCCAGAACCTATGGTGCACCTGCAGGTAAATGGTAAAACTTCTGGGGCTTCCAGATATACCATAGGCTTGGAAGAATAGGCAGGATTTTACAGTCTAGAGGAAGTACAGCGCTATGGAGCTTGTTGGCGCTATATAAATTATTAATAATAATTAATTAATGTAACGTTTCTGGGTAACACAATAATTACCCATGAAGAGAGTACCACGATTGTACATACAGGTTCCTTAAGCTGTAATCATTATTTTCTTCTCAGAAAATGAATCTTTTGGGATAAGATTTGTATGGCTGTCTAATATACTGTACCCCAGAAGGAGTTTAGCTTTAGGTCCCAGAGCAGGTGGTGAATGTGGTTTATGTAGTACTAGTAGAGGAATAATCAAACAAACAGGGGGAGCAAGTGTAAATTTAGCAGGGGTCCCAGAAAAACTGTGGGCAGCAGAGGGTGACAATGTAGGTCTTATTGCATCTACAGAAGCTATTGTTGTGGAATTGAAAGAACACTGCAAGTTGTGTCAGGTTCTCCAATATAATTTACTTTATGAGGAAATTAAAGGCATAGAGTTTGTAATAAAGAACCTGCTTGATTAACAAATCATTGTATCCACAGCAACGTTGCTGTAATGCCTCAATACTCCTTGTCAAAAATCCCCACACATTTCCACCATAATAGAGATTTGTGCGTTATCTCGGATCATCGCATGCTACATTGCAGTGCAAGGGAAATGCCTTTTAGGTTTTGGTTGCACTAGGAGAAATAGGACATAAAGTTAATAAAAAGGTTGCCAAGCCTGAGCTAAAATGTTTAGGTCATTTGATTAGTCCCCTAGGCATGCATCCTGTGGCGAACAGTGTTTTGTCGTTGAGTGTATGGAACGGTTTTGGGCATAGGACCATGTGCACGATGGGGCAAAAATAAGACTTCCAGGAAATTCCTGAACCTCTGAACCGATCTGGGTGATTTTTAGATATGTTGTTCACCCAGATGGGGGCTATGTGGGGATATGTTGTATTTTGGAGTACTTTTTGGGGTTTGTAAAAATGTATGTTTTTTCTGCTTAGAGTTAATTGAGTTAGTTCATTGTCTTTGTTAATTGTTTTACAGGCAGAAGGGAGGGTTTGTGTACATTATCTGGGAGTGTCTAACTGTACAATACTGTTCTGATTGGCTTTGTGACTTTGTGTCCTGTGCTCCACAAGGTCCATCTGGGTGGTAACCTTGTGGGGAAAACTGTATAAAAGACAATAAACCCTCAGATCTGCCGAGTTCCTGTTTTACCCTCAACATCGAGCCTCGCCTCATGTGTGGGGGAAAAGGCTGCATCTACACTGGGGATTGCTATATGCTGTATACTCCCCTGGCTCTAATCACTAAGCTCTTTTAAGAGCTTGTTCTTGCTTCACTCTCTGAAGGAAGAGAGGTTCACCCACTGGAGCCTGGAGCCTTGTCGTAGGCCCAGGGTGGGTAGGAGACGGCAAGACCCCAACCAAGCTGCGGCAGTTCATGGGGTCTGGTGTGGTGCTGATGATCCTTGGTAAGCACTAGGAGCATCGATTGACGGAGGGTCCATCACACATCCCATCATACAAGAATAAAATTGAGTAAGAGTAAAAATGAGCAAAGGATTCCCTCTCTGAAATAGCAGACATGCTGCAAGCACTAACTAAGGAAGGAGTATCAACCCTACTATCATGGGGTGAAGATGAGAAAGATTAGGACTGACAGATTACACCAGGTCATTCACTTTCTTCAGTCTTGTACATAATGGACAAACCACTTTGGTATTGACCCAGAAACACAGAGGCCAATTGCATATTACAGCACTGCCGCGGACAATGGGGACTTAGCTTTTGTACGATGTATGCGAGCTGCAGCACTGGCTTTTGTGACAGATTGCTGCCAACATATAGTTTTATTAAGCCCTCTAATGGTGAAGGTCCCACATGCAGTACAATATATATTAATGATAAATACAACTCAGATTACAAACGCTAGGCTTACTAAGTATGTTTGCATACCAACAAGCAGTAAATATATCACAGTCTCTTGATGTCTACCTTTAAACCCAGCCTCATTACTTCTTACAGAAAGTGAGAAAGTACCACAATTATTGAAAATTGTGGAGTCAGTAGGGAGTGTTTTCCCAGGTCTTAAGGAAGCTTGTTGTCAGGTTATTCATCAGATCAGGCAAGAGTGCTGCGAGAAGATTAACATTTATATAACTTTTCTTAGGGTTAACCACAGTATGTGCAGCAAACACGTAAGGGAAATGTGAATAAATTAAATGGTAAAAGGAGTAATCAGAGAATTAGGAAGGTGAAGAGGGAATGAGAAGTGATGCAAAAAATCTAAGAGATATATACACATGTATGTGAGCATATAAGATAAGGAA